TATATTTTATATACATTTTTCTTAATTTTAAATACGTACCACTGTAGATCTGTATAATGAATCATTTTTCAATTTATCTTCTAATATCATAAGATCAGTATCATCATTAACAACAAGAATATCGTCTTCAATTGCTAAAGAAGAATTATTTGACTGTCCCGAAAGCTTATCATGAATTTTTTCCAGTAGAGTTTCTGAACCGTGAATTTGTCTGTGTATATTTTTAACATCATACTTTAGAGTAGTGAGAGATCTTTTTACAAATTTTTTAAAAGCTGAAATAAATTGAAAAAAAACTATATTACATGACTAATTTAACAGTATAAAAATTAGTAATAATAATACAACATACATTGATTGCATGTATCATTTCCTGCAGCTGATGATGGTGAAATAAATAAGTCATGTCTGGGCACTTTTTTATTAATTGCAACATCTTGGTTGTCTGGTGTCAATAGAGTTGCATGGGAATTTTTTTTTTCCCCCGAACCATAAGATATAAAATTATTATCAATGGTCGTCTTTGGAGCATTTGTAGCAGGTAGATCCTCAACAGTCGATCCTGCTATATTTTCAATAGATCCCATCTCATTGGAAACACAAAACAATGAATCAAATGAATTAGCTGGTGTATAAGTAATATCATCATCAGAGTCATCTACTGCTGATTCTAAAACAAAATTTAAAATATACATTAAAAATCACAGATTCCTTAATCCTTAAAATGTATTATAATATATTATATAATACAGTTATTACATTAATAAAGGTATTATATCAATATCCATGAATGTAAAACATAAAATGAGAACTTTTAACACTAACCTGGTTCAGATTCTTCAAATGTAGGAGGTTTGGATAATTTATCATTTTCGATTAATTTTTGTTTTCTTATAGCTATGTCAACTTCATTAGATGATAATTCAGATGTCACTTGTGCTTTCGTTGCTTTGCTTTCAGCTTCTTAAAAAGTAGCTGTAAAAATTTACCAACTTATTTATATGATTATGATAAAAAAAATTGTATTGTATTCTATAGGTAATTGTTATTTTTATAAAGCATATTAAATATTGACATTTAGTATTTACCAATATTAGTTAATAAGGATCGTGCTTTATATTTTGTAAAATGAATATCATCTGGCTTCATGCGTCATTTAATTGATGTTTTGGAATAAATTCTGTTTGTTTTATTAGGCCATTCACAATAACTATTTTTCAACCAGAATTCTGGTACAACATCAACCGATCATCTTCTTCGAAGCTGACAACCCTCCACATGCTATTAAATTTAAATATTTCAAAGACATATTACATAGATAGCAGTTTTATTTTTTGTTTTAATTATTTTCAACCTCAATCATACACTATTACAATAATATTAATAACTATGCAGAATGACTATTTGTTGGTTTTCAAAATCTAAGAATAATAATTTACATTTTATATCTAATTTTTAATATTTTTAATATAATCCAATAACATTATAAATTTATTAAAATAGTTAGAAGTATCTATTAAATATACCAACTTACAGGGTTGTGTTAAATACTTTTAAAATTGTATTTAAATACTAAATACATAAAGTTTTTCAACAGTTCAAATTTTAATTAAACAAAATATACAGAAAATAAAGAAAATAATACTACATTTCAATAAGTAAATAAAAATATCACTAGATACTAAATTGTACAATACTAATTAAAACTCTTACTCACATAGTCACATATATATTTATCTATACACCTAATGAGTAGCTGATGTACATTATATTAAATTAAAGTAGAAATTGATGAGAAAAATAATTATTTAAATAATTATACTGTTAAAATTGTATTTAAAAATTAAAATACCCATTACTAATTAAACAAATAATAATATATTTAATACAAATAAAAATAAATAAATGTTTTATAAAAAATAATTTAGCATACAATAGTTGATAACAATAAATTATAATATTAAACAAAATACATTTTAAATATTAAACCTGCAGTATCAGTAGGTATATAATATGCATTAATAAGTGTGCAAAATAGGTATAACCACTTGTTAATTTTCAAAATTTATCAATAATAATTTATTTTTTATATCTGATTTTGTCAATTACTTTAAATTTTCTGAAAGATTCTCCACTACAAAAATGTCAATTTTGGACGATTTTAAGGTAATTTCAAAGAAATCATATTTAATTGAGAATATTCTTCCAACAAAATTGTCAGTGTCTGAATGATTTTCTTTTGATGTAACAATTGACTCAATTTGAATAACTTCTCCTTAATTAGTTAAAGCCAAACAATCAGGTTTTTTTGCGGTTAAATTTAATGTATCTTTATTTTTTGGAATATTATTGTTGATATGTTTAAATTGTTCTTCATATCGTTTCACAACTTGTTGTAAAGGCTTTTCATGTTTACGAAGCATTCTCTTAAGAGACTTGTAATTTTTAAATGGAAAAGTGCTGGAATTATCAAGTGGACCATATTTTGTATAATCTTCTGTTAAATGTAATAATCCATGTACATTAAAATAAATTAAGTGAGATCTGTATAACTGACCAAATGATTTTACAGAATAGTCTAACGGCTTTTGTATATGGTTAACATACTGTTTATGATAGGTATTTAATAGAATTCTCATACTAATACAAAGTACTAAGAAATGTTGGTAACATCCATCAGGCAATACATTTTTTAAAACAATTATATCCGTGTATAATAGAAACTGTCTGAGCTCAGTTGCTTTAAATCGGTTTATTTCAATAAGTGCCCTAGGTTTCAGAGAAAAATCTTTTGTAATATGATTTTTTTTTTATACCATGAAGAGCGTTACTGATCTGATTAATTTTCCAGCTAGGTATTCGTACTTTCTTCAGCCCTTTAGTATTGCCGATCCAAATATGAATTAATTTACGCATAACGCCTAAGCACACCAAATGCATATAATCCATAGAAAACAACTGCACAATATCAACATTTGGAATTGATGAAATACATGAAGTAGTGTTACATGTATGATGTTCTTCATACTTCATTGATACATAATCATCATGTGTCCTCAACTGTACACCGTGTACAGGAAAGGAATCCAGAATGACTTTTCACTTTTAATAGGAATGCTTTAGCTGGTGCATCACAACATATAACTTCAATCATAATATTTTTTTTTGAACCATTAATAGTAATACCATTAGTAGTAAGTAAAATAACTTCTGAAATAAAATCTTTTAAGAATTCGTCACTATTATTAGGTTTTTCTTGTCCATAGTATATCCCAATAGGAAACACATGTTCATGATGAGGCATTATATAATATGCTAATATAGGCTAGAATTGACTTAAAAAACTAGCAGATAAGGGTAATCCATCAACTCCAACAACTATTTTAATAATATCGGTTAGTGGAAATAAAAATGAGCATTTCATATTACCAGACCAAAATGATAATAATAAAATCTTGGTTCTACTTTTCGTATGTTTGTAATTTTTGTAGATTTACACTGAAGCAAAGTACGAAAATCCTCAGGTAAAAATGTAAGTCCAGCATCACATTTAAGTACATTAAGTAGAGCATTAAGAGAATTGTGTGGTATATTGTAATCTGTAGCCCACTTCCTAAGACCGTCTTTAACATTTTCTTCTCGAGTACAATTTATGTTAAAATCACCTGTAGGTATCGATTCTGTCAAATCTTTAAGGTTTTGGTCATTAAAGGGACTGGTTGATAATAGATGTTGGCTAGTGTTCAAATTATCTTCAAAATTAAAGCAAGAAGATGTAGTAGAATTTGAAATAGAACAAGTTTTAGCCAAAGTTTGAGTATTTAATTCATTATCATCGTCAGAGCTTTCAAATGCTAATAATTCATTCAGAATTCTCCGACGTTTTGTTCTATAGCTTAAGGAACAGTTCATTTTATACTATAACATAATAATATAGAAAAGTGCAAATTATAACAGTAGGCCACTGTAAAGTTGGATATGATAATTTTGAGATAGTAGTATATTTTAGCCGATTCTAAAACCTCATCCCTCATCACTCTTCCTCATCCCTCATCCCTCATCACTCATCACTCATCCCTCATCACTCATCACTCATCCCTCATCCCACCGCCCGCATCCTCATCCGCCGCCGCCGCCCTATCGCGTACGTGTGTGACATACGTATACTGCTGTTATTCTAATCAGTTATCAATTGCTATCAGTTATCATATCATCGTTATCAATTGTTATCAGTTATCGTTATCAATTGTTATCAGTTATCAGTTATCGTTATCATTTGTTATCACTTATCAAATTATACCCGTTGTCGTGGAAAAACTGCAAAATAACAGTCCGAGTATCGAACACGGATGTACCTCCTCACCGTGAGGTTGGTTCTACCAATAGGCCACCCCGCCATATTCTTTAATATTGTTATTCTTACCTATTTAACCAGAGTTTGAACATATTATAAATAAAATTAAAAATATTTAAACCACAGTATACTGGTCATATTATAATATCATTAAGATACTAATAACTTGCAGCTGCGTACACGAATAATATCGATGAATACACCATAATAGGACGTCTACGTATAAAAATTTATATTGATAGACGTATTGACAATAAGAGGCATTGTGAAAAAACACATTAAAACCGATATTAGTACCTTCTGCCGGACGTATACAATGTTAAACAATTAAATATCAATTTCATAGTATTACTGGCCCCACTAAAATCGCACATACCTATTTAAATTTTAAAGACTTATGGCTCTGAGAGATCTCAGTCTTTCAGTACGTCTACAGCCTTAAACCGCAGTGCTCTTATTTCTCGAAACGTTTTTATATTTTGTTAGTGAATTTTTACTTTTCATTATGTATAAATGTATAAAGTGTGTGTCTACGTTTACGCGTAAGGACAATTTGAAGAGACATGAAAAAACGCACGATAAAGTCTGCTTTCCGTGCTTGCAATGTACTAAATCATTTAGTTACCAGTCGAACCTTGTTCGCCATATGAAAAACACTCACAACCGTGTACGACGTTCTAATACAGTAATCGCTCCACAAGTACAAGATGTACAACGATTTGAAGTAGAGATCGTCCCGAATAGAACAGATCAGCCATCAGGATTGCAGCCTAAAGATATGAATAATATACTGTCCGATGATTTTAACGACGGGAATGATGAAATGTGCGTAGAAGTTTTGAGGAATGCTGAAAGTGCTGGATTATGCAATACGACAAGTAAGATTTTTTTTATTATCATTGACGCTAGATTTCTATTTATTTCTATTTATTTTTAAGTAGATTCTTATATGGCTACGGTAGGGGGAAAGCGTGTACACGTTGAAAACACAGCACATCGCATTAAATCGAATAAGGCTTGAATGGATGTAGCTAATAAACTAGGCTTTGTCGAAGTTAAATCCGCACACGGTCGAAAAATCGTATGGTATTACGCTAAAAATCTAAACAATTTTGAAAATTATATTTCTTTTTTCCAATCGTTAAAATTAGAACTTGCTGATTTATTAAAATCAATTGTTGCCATATCGCCAATTAAATTTAATTTAAAACTAGAAGCAACGTACAGTCAGCCTAATGTAGAAAACTCTTCACAAAACAGGTCTTTCAAGACATCGGCTAGGCCAATCTTTATTGATTCGGATATAACTTTATTAATAGATGAGGCTTTCACTACATTATTACACGAGGAGGAAATTTATGTAGCAAAGGGTAGTGGTTATGTTTTGGAATCTATCGATGGACTTTTATTAACAATTTACAAATACACACCCATGGGTGATACTCCAAATATTCAAATCCCGATTAGAAATATTGACAACGAAAATAATACCGATAACAATAATAATACCGATATCAATAATAATACTGATAACAATAATAATAACAATTATAATACCGATAACAATACTAATAATAATACACGAGATAATAGTTCTTTTAACGAACAAACTGATAATTACGCTCTAGCTGGCTCATCCTACATTAAGCTCCCACCTTCTTTAATTAATAAACTGGCTACAATTAACCCACAAAACAATGATCAATATTGTTTTAAATGTGTAATTTTAGCAAAGCACGTGACAGATCCAAATAAACATCGAGTAGGCGAAAATTATTACCAGCATGAGAACAAATATAATTTCACAGGCTTGTCATTCCCAACACCGTGGTGTGAAGTTAAAATTTTTGAAAAAAATAACCCGGGAGTGTCTGTAAATATTTACGGGGTTAAAAAAATATCTATAGAACGTAGTCATATATATCCAATAAAAGTAGTGGATGATGAAAAAGCAAACCATTTCGATTTTATTTTTTTCAGTGACGGTGAAAAAAGTCACTATGTATATATTTCAAATTTTTCATGTCTTATTCGTTCGCAAACTACCTTACACGGCCATTCGGTATATTATTGTAAACGGTGCTTCACGTCATTTGACAACCAAAATTTAAAATATAAGTTAAGCGGACAGCTAGCTCTCCAACAGCATAAACTTATTTGCGGATCACATAAGCCTATTCTACCCATTATGCCCTAAGTTGACACAACGCTTGAATTTAAAGCGTGGGGAAATGCACAACGTCACCCTTTTGCAATTTATGGAGATTTTGAGGCGTTACTAATAAAGACCGACGAGCGCAGGGGTGAGAATACGACGGTAATACATAGGCATAAACCTATGAGTTATGGTTTTGTAGTAAAGGCATCTGAAGACGTACCGTTGGAGCTTATTGAAAAATTCAATATACCGACTTCTCCGGTTATTTATCGCGGTAGCGGTAATCGAGAGGAGGTTGCAAGGCATTTTGTAAATAGTATTGTAGAAGTAGGTTTAAAAATTGAAGAGTTATTAAAGACAAATGTTCCTATATGTATGAGTGATGAAGATACACGTAGGCATAATGAAAATAATCAGTGTAATCTTTGTAAATGTATCCTTAATAAAAATGATAAAGTCCGTGATCATTGTCACCTGTCCGGAAAATTTAGGCAGACATTATGTTCTAAATGTAATATTAGTTTACAACAGCCTAAGTTCGTTCCATGTTTTTTTCATAATTTAACTAATTACGATGCTCATTTTATAGTCACTGAATTGGGATATGATGCAAAAACAATAAAAGTAATTCCTAATAGCGAGGAAAAATTTATAACATTTTCAAAATATATTAGCAAATCGTTTACCATACGATTTGTTGACACGTGTAGGTTTATGGCAACAAAGTTGGAGGATTTAGCTAAAAATCTTTTGACGCAAGATTTTGCGAAATTCTGTGAAACATCTAAGCGTTTTTCTGCCGAGGATATGCCACTGGTTACCCGAAAGGGGGTATACCCATATGAATATACGGATGACTGGTCCAAGCTTGAACAAACAACTCTACCACCAAAGGAAGACTTTTATAGCTCATTGATGGAAAAAAACATTGAAGATAGTGAATATCAGTTTGCGACCGAGGTCTGGGATCACTTTGGATGTCGAACACTTGGCGAATATTCTGATTTGTACTTAAAAATTGATGTGCTTTTACTGGCAGACGTTTTCGAAAATTGTCGTGATGTGTGTATAAAAGTATACAATTTAGACCCGGCATACTACTTTACCGCGCCTGCCTATAGCTTTGACGCTATGCTAAAGCAAACTG